GGGGGGGGGTTGACCTTGGCCCCCCTCGCTGCTGCTGCTAAGCTAGCAACCTTGAGACAGAGCACGGAGCTCTGCAAAGGGGAATTTGAATCCCCTGAGGAAGGGACTTTCACGAAGATGCCCCTGCATTTCATGATATACCTGTGGTGACGCGAGTCTGGTCCCTGCTGGCAGCCCACAGGTGAGGCCTTCGCTTGGACCGAAGGAGAGCCGAGGGGCTTGGAGACCCCCTTGTGTGTACTGAACAGAGATCCAGCTACAACAATCCAGTTACTGCTGCACGCATGAGATGAGGAGAACCTGCTGCCTTAGAAGAAGCTGCTGCCCTGAGAGACTGGAAGGGATCTGTCCTTCTTTCCCTCCTGGACTTTTATTTGGAGGGGAGAAGAGATCTGATCCATTGTAAATACTATATGTCATGGTAGAGATAGTTGTGATCGTGTGTATAATGTGTTATAGTATTTATTTGTACAGTCATTGTAATATATTCCCTTTCCCCCATTCTGAGTCTGGTTGTGTTTTGTCTGGAAAAAAACCCATCTCACATTAGGTTGAGATGTGGGAGGGGGGATGGAGCTAGGGAATTGGATTTTGGGGCTATCTCAAACCATGACACCGTCTATTCTTCAAGAAAAATTAACTGGGATGGGAGTAAAACAGGGTAAAAAAGGAGTAAAAAATGGTTGGGGAAAGAAAGGAAATGGAAGGAGTAAACAAGAGTAAGACTTTTTAAAGGAAAGGACATCATTTACACAAACCCTCAAGTCCTGAGTAAAATAAAGGTGGATATTACCAGAAGATTTCTGGCCATCTGTTGATAAATACAAGCTGGCACTGGAAATCAAACAAATGTCAATATTTCCTTTCCTTTTTTTTTTTCTTTAATACTCAAATATTAATATATTTACCCAAATTGATTTTTTTTTTGCAAACAAATAGTTTTTCTGAAATTTGCCTTTTTTTTTTTTTTAAATGCCAAAGCCAAAACGTATCTGCTCACTCAAAAGATGTTTAAATACAATATGTTGTGGTTTCTCTACACAGCTCCCATTGCTTTGTTCTTGGATTGACTCCTACTTTTTAGAGGAACCATGGCAAAGAAAGTCTCTGTCTTGAAAACCTGATTCTCTGAAGACACAGAGCCCTGGAGCGTGCTGGAAGTGATCTATCCTTCAAATAACTTCTCTAATTAAATGTTTTAATTAATCATAAGCAGTGTGATTTTCCACTGGGGCCTCTCAGACGTCCCCAGGAGGAAAGGAAAATCCCATTTTTAGGAATCTGGAGGACAAGGCACTTATCCATAATGACCTATAAGGGCGCAAGGATCCAAATTTGATTTTCCTGAGGCAAAGCCTTTAATTTCCTGAGTGATTTTTCTCTCTAATTTACATCCAGAGAGAAAAAGAGACGAATCACCTACTGCAACTCATAGTTCTGTGGGTTTGGCACAAATAACTGTGTTAGAAATGGCAAGAAAAGGGGAAGAAATTTGGCAAAGTGCATTATTTTATCCAGCTGATGCTGTGCAGCATCTCTCGGCGCCATGAGAGCTGTGGGGATCAGGGAGCAAGGAAGAGCAGGTCTGGACACTCTTGGGAAGAAGAGCTGAGCTTGGAAGAGTTCTTTTGGGATCTACCAAGCCCCTCCAGAGCTCTGGGCAGTTTGTCTTGCTGGGAACTGGAAGGAAACATTTCCCTGGTGGGATAAAGGAGCCCGAGCACCTGGGCTGGACAGGAGAGTTCCTGGTGAGCTTGGCAGGGCAGCTCTCAGACATCTGCAAGGTTTTCAGTGTCTAAAACTGGGTGTTTGGGGTTTACCACCATCTGCCTCAAACCAGCAGCTGCATCACAAAGGGTCAATATTTCACAGGAGGCATGTGATTCCTTAAAAAAAACCCAAAAAAACCCACCTAAAATAGCTGTGTTAGTTCTTTTTTTTAATCATTTCTAGACTTAGGTTATTTACAGGTCAACCTTTCTTTAAATTTGGTCATGGCTGTCTCCCTCTCAGTCCTCTCTCAGCCTTTGCCAGCACTGGGCTGCCCAAACATGAGGAACTTGGCATTGATTTTGTCCAAATTTAGGCACCTACGAGTCCTTTTGAAGGTACCAGGAGCTTATCTCCACTTGGAATGTGTCACCCCCGTGGTGTCTGTCTGCCTGGAGAAGCAGCTAGTGGTTAGAAAGCCTCAGTTTGGTGATGATCTGCATATTAAACCAAATAAATCAAGCCTTGGCTTCTCTTTCAAGAGATCTCTTCTTCCCTTCTGCCACCTTTGGCTGCTCTCAGGAGCTGGCCCAGCCTGAATTCGTAATTTCTGAGGAGAAAGGTAGAGAAGGGGAGAAAGGTGGAGGAAAAGGGAAGGAGGGGGAGTTTGGGAGAGGGGGAGATTGCTGAGGTGTAGGTAACCACCCAAAACTGATGTCCCCTGATCCTTCCACCTGCCAACTCAACGCCCTGAGAACAGAGAGGTTTTTGTAACACCCACCTGAAAGGGTGTTTTTGTCCTTCTGCTCCCAGCCTTCCAAC